GAATAAAATTAGGGGGATATAGGGGGGGGGGGGGAGATGTCAGCAGGACGACTGAAGCAGGGTCATGCAAATGTCAGTTCTGGTTTAGGGAATTTAAGTTGGGCACAATAATACGGATTTGAATATTTTAATCTCAAAATATTACCAACTTGACAAAAAGCACACATTCAAATTGGTACTTTTACATTTTTCACAGCGCAACGTGATATTTGCCGTGAACAAATAGGAAATTCTGATTGCTGTGTACATAATATGCTCTTTTTATTCATGTGAACTTTACCACTCATTTTATTACGTTTTCCACATTCGGTATTAAGCAATATTCTTAACTTAATTCTTCTTTATTGCAATAAGGGACAATTGACCTTCGGATTGTGACAAGAATTAATGCATTATATTCACTTAAGTAATATTTTTGCCAATTAAGTTGTTAAGAAATATATTTCGAGTCCTTTATTGATACTTTCACCAAAATAGATTTCAGGGATCTGAATTTCATGGAAACTGCAACATTAACATAATCGAAAGGTCTATTTTTGGACATCGGGCTTCATTGCACCTCGCGCAACGCAAACGTAGCCCAAAAATTGCAACTCTGATTATTGTGCCGAATTAATTTAGTGTAATTAGCAAATCCGACCGATGGGTGAGTACCGATGAGCGGTAGCCGTTAGCCCTTGAATTCGCAGATTGGAATGTTGATGTCTGCACCGCCAGCTCACAAATGGGAAGTGGTGGCAAATAGATCAGTGCCTTGATGAAGGTGGTAATACAATAGGTCATATTATGTAGATTCCCATCAAACGTCAGACAGGCATTGAATTAGCACCTTTTAATAAGCATTCATATGTGTTCAAAAGTGTAGTCTCGTTCGATTCAACTTTCGTTACAATTAGGTAGTCACAACTTATTTTAAATATGCATTGCTTTTAATAAACCCTGAGTTAAAACACTTTTAAGATGTAATCATTAAGTTGACTGATTTTAATGTTTTATTATATATTTAATCATATGATCATAACCATACAAAACAAACTGAACTGAATGCTAGTTTGATAGCCTCTCTCACCTTCTGCTATCTTATAGAATTCAAACATTCAAGGCTCCTTTACTCTAATAGTATAAGTATTTAAATGCAAAATACTTCCGTTAGAACTTGACTACATCTTTGACTAACATTTTATACAGAACTGTGAATTATTACTCATCATTAATCCGGTCTCCCCTATTAAAATGAATAGTTATTTGAGTCCCAGTAGTATGATGATCTGAGCGGCTTTATCAAGGAGCGACCTCAGGAAAGTCGTAGAGGAGTAGAGTCGAGTCGTTGCTCGAGAGAGATATCTTTTAGAAAACTGATGTTGAAGGCAAAGCATTTACACGGGGTTAGTCCGTCTGTTGAATGGGGTTAATAGACTCTGAGGAAACTAATTAGGCATTTCCCGAGGAAGTAAAGATTTAAGTAGATTATGTTGAATTCAGACTAGTGTAAATCGATTGTAACTCAAATGTATGCCCAAATCTTAATCATACTGTGATATTATTTAGTTACTAGAACATGGGAATTTAGTTGAGCGATTCTCAGAACGTCTGAAAGTCATCATGTACCCCTAGCTATGTCCTTGAGAAGACAATTTCTATCACTCAGTATTGAGCGGTTGAATTGCATGCACAAGCCACTACGATCGCAAAAGACGTTTACTTCCTACACGCAGCAAGTAGTTGTGACCACGTTTAGTCCTGCCGTGAGGAATAAAATGAAATCAAATAATATCATATTAACCACTATTTATATGTTGTAGCAGCATAACACGCACAAATGAAGAGCAATTTTACGATTTTTAATTTCCAGAAAGCGGCTGATGTTGGTCAGTTTTAATAACTCAAAGGTGAAGATGTAGAAGGAAGGTGTCGACGTTGCATTGGTGTAGAACTGGCAGTTTGCAGACTTATGGTTTACAGTTTTACTTTTATAATTAATCAACTGGAGAACTGAATAAATTCTTATTCGCAACGTCTGGTGCCATTTTCACCGGCGTTTGACTGTGATTCTCGGTCATCCCACTTCAACTCATTTCGTATTTCATAACCCACTAAAGTTGCCAGGATTTTGTAAATAAATGGACTATTCTGTAAGTAAAATAGCTGCGCTTGAGCATTCTGTTTGGAAATGATAATAAACTAAATATTAATATTTGAATCAAATTTGTATACACTTGGTCACCAAATTTTTTTTGAACTTTGGACTGGATAGCGAAATATGCCAGAATGAAGGTGTACAATATTCAACGCCATGTTCTTGAAATCTGTACAATCAACTTACAAATTGGTGGAATTCGAATTGGCGCTGAAAGCATTTAGATTAAGATGGCGGATTTTGCAACTCGAAATTTAGAAAATATTTCTCTCTTCAAGAAGGGCATCTTTCTATACTCTCTTACCCACAATTTGGTAACTATGATATTTAGAGTTATTCAACATGTTAGCTAATTCTTTCTGCTTTACCAACACTAACAGAGCCCTTTTAAGGATTCAATGGACTTAAATATAGTAGTTGGTGCAAATTAGTATGGTCTGAAAGAAGTTTAGCTTATAGTTATCTTTTTAAACAAGTCAACTAGACCACCGAAGTTTAGTCAAGAAAAATCCGTTTGGGAATGATTAAATGATAATACCAAGTTACAAAGGAAGTTAAAGACATCAAATATGGTAATAATTTGGCATGTCTTAAGTTACTGTAACCTTGTCAAGTCTAATGACTAGATAAGTAGGTCAGGTCATTTCAAGATGTTGTTTTTAAAGCGTAGTTTTAGTAGATACTGCAGGATCACTATGTATGTCTGACCAAGTAACATAAAACTCGCAAGGTGTTCTTGTTTTAATATTAAAGGTTCTTTTGAAAATAAAGCATGAACATCATTGCACTAACTTACTACCTCGTCAAATTTCAAGTCGTGCGTTATGCTGTAAAGGACATTACGATTGAAACTGTCTCCTGGTGAAAGGTAATTAGTTGTTCTTAGTTGACTTAGATGAGAAGGGTAAATGACCTCAATGGGAATTCCATTGATTTACAACGATTGTCTACCCGGGTGTTATTTTAAATTTGCCTGATTGAATTCAAGAAACCAGATTCGAGCGTATCAACATTTCCTAACTGTATCAACGGAGGAACTAGATGATAAATCCATAGGTATATGTAAAACAAGGCGAATCTGGTTTGAAAATAAATTTTGTTGCTATCTTAAATGACTTTTAGAAAATAAATACGAAATTGTACTTTTGAATGTGTATAGGTGAAAATTATATTAGTTCCATGTAATATTGCAGTTGCGCAGAGTTTAAAACTGCGGAAATTAAAAATGCTTTTGGGAAATCAAAGTGCAGATAATGAATCATATATTCCCATCTTTTACAATGGAAGTTGGATTTTTCTCACGGTTGTAGGCAAAGCATAATTGATATTTCAACTCTACTGACTAACTGCTAGTAGGTCAGAACATCTGATTATGAGCTAAAATTTGGAAATGAGTATATTTTCGAAAGGCAGAAGTTAAAATGAAAGTAAAGACAGTGCTTGTAAGCTTTCTCGATGAATAAGTTCCTTAAAACCGTATTTTTTCCCAACTTTGGCATTCCAAAATATTTTCCCACAGGCGCTGCACTGTAATGAGTAGATTTTACAAATAACGCAAGTTTCGTGATTAGAGAAAAATAGTTCACCGATACTAGAAGACGAGTCTTAGTTATTTTTAACAAAATTGAAGTTTCTGGTGAACATGTTTAATCAATCTGAATTTTGAATGAAAAAGCCTAAATAACGAAATTGTGTATCTCAAATGTTAGCTCAAGCCATTCCATTGACCACATGCTGTAAATGCTGTAGAAATTCAAGAATTCCATGACTTAACCACTATCCACATAATTTTCTAAATGATATATAACTGCAAATCTTATCAACTGTTAATTTAACATTCATAATTGTCTAATTGATCATTTTGAAAGTGGTTGAAAATTAATTATATTGTTAAATAGCGGATGAACATAGAAACATATTTTTTCCAATAATTAGTGCAATATAGGGTTATGTGATCTAGGATTTGCTAGACCAAATTCTAGTTGAATAGATAGGAATACAGTACCTGCACATTCCTATTCACTAAGTCCTTCATTTTACATAATTCTTTGATTTACATAATATATGCTGAATTTGATAACCATTTCAAAACTATTCCTATCAAAGTTATCACTTTCCTTACTTTAAAATAATGGGCACATTTATCTGATAACGAATTCACTAAAGTTCAAGATGAATATCGTTTATAATATTAGTATAGTGGGGTGTGCAATAGACTTACCTCCACGTGGCGCACCCTGGGCAACGTATACTCATACGGCAAAAAGGTCTATTGACCGACAGTTGACTTCTGACTTCAAACTACCATGGCCCCACTGTTTGTCATACTCGACCACTTCTCCAGTACCCACCTCCCCCTTTTCTCTACCTTAATGTCTGTCTGTCTCTTTTACACCTAGAAATCACTTTACTACTCCCCCTCTCGACTTTTCTCACTTTGTTGCTCCTCCGCTCTGTAAAGCTCGAAGTCAGCTAAAGAGTTAATGATAACAACTAAAACGACTGGCATTTGATATAGCTATTAGTATGGTAGTGAATATTTGGTTTTTCGAGACATGGCGCTAACCAACTCTCTCCCAAAATCTCCCAAGATGAAATTATTCTTCGTTAAGTTAGCTAGGAGGTCATATTGACAATCTCTTTGGCCAGATGTGATCATTTAAGTTTATTTTTGACTTAATAAAAACTTAAATTGATGTATATATATAATTAGCCGAATGGGGAAAATTAACAAGGTTTATTCTCATTTTAATGAATGGAGGAGTCTATATTAAATACGACCTTCAGATTATAAAGTAATTGGTTGTTTCCGAAACGAAATAAGCGCATTTGAATTATTTTTTGTTCAATGCAGTCTACTACGATGCGTGTGTCGATACGCATACAACCTCTCAAGCAGGACTCTTCCAGTCACTATAGAGACCAAAGGCCATTATCAGCAAGACGTGAAGTGCATCGATCAAGGTCTCGACGGTCAAAAGTGGAAGAACGAGTTGTGAAAAAGCGATCGAAAGAAAGGGAACCTCCTTCAAGGCAATGTTCACCAATTTACCGGTCAACGCCAACATCAATGGACAGAAATACTGGAAATATGTCCAAATATGTCTATTTTTCGCAAGCACAACCCCATTCAGATTATAGAAGATTGCGGAATGAGGAAGAGAGAATTTTGTTTCCCTCACGCTCCTTGAATTACATAAATGTTGAGGTGGATTGTACGCCTTCTATTTCGTCATCTAGTACTTCTTCCCTTACATCTAATTTTGATGTCTCTAACTTTAGCACTGTTAAAGGAGAAACCTTTAATGACCTTTATCAGCAACCAATTGAGAATGAGAGAGTGATCAGGGTGAAACCAAAGCTTCCGAGAGTAGTGGTGGAAATGAAACATCCTCAAGGAAGGCGAAGGCGTCGACATAGTAGTCAACCCAAGCTCCATGTGGCCGAGAAGCAATACCCCAAGCCAAAATTACGGAGCTCTTCAAGGCCACGATTGGAGCGTAAACGAGCGTCTTCTTCTAGCTCCGAGGAAAATATTATCCGCGTCGTTCATGAAATCCACGAGAGGCCAAACTTCCGGGACATAAAAAAACGAGTCTGGAAAAAACCAGTCATAAGAAATAAGAAGCGTGTTTTACAGTCGTGGAATCTTAGTAAATAACAATTTTATTACCTAGAAATTTCATGTCTATATCTCATTAATCACCCCATAATCCTTGTAACTTTTACTTAAGCGAATCATCTTGCAGTATTTTTACAGTAGATATGAATTTATTGCAAATTCATTTTAAGTCTTAATAAAACTGAGAATTTTAAAATTATATATAAATTTTTTTAACGCATCCACATTTTTTCGATTTGCTGAGACAACCAGCGTATTTAGAGATAATGCTGATTTTTTTTCCTTTATTTGTATTTTAAAACGAAATATTGACTAATTAATTGATATTTTTAAAACCTTTGCAAATGTTAATTCAGAACAAGTTTTTTAATGTAGTCCTTCGGTTACAAATTAAGTAGGTGCATGCAGATAAATTTGATTTTATTCTAAAAATTCTCTTTCTTGCCGAGGGAAATGAAGGATTACTAAGTCAGCTACTTCAATGACAACTAGTCCGTCGTTCTGATTCTAAGGCGTTTCTCCCTGTATGCACTAGATAGCATTGAAAGCAGAGTTCGCTTAAGACGTGAAAACATGGTGTACGTATTTCATTAAAAATCCATGCTTTGCTTTAAGGTGAATACATAATTTTTGAAATATTTAGCGATTGACCTATTTTTTCCCATAAATGAGTGGAAAATGGTAAGATAGGTAAGGATATAGTTCAACTCGTGAATATTAGTAATTGTCAAAGTAAGTGCAACTCACTGGTTGAGAATCCTCTCATTATATATTCAAATTAACAAACTTCTTGTTCCTTTTTCTAAGCTCTTACCATGGAACGAATCTGTGAAATCCCTCTCCTGCTAATTTAGCAGACCGCAGAAATTACTAGCCTACCTGAACTTGAGTTAATTTTAACGTCAAGCACAACGGGGCTGACAAATTATCGTGTATGGGAGAGAGGGTTTAGACCATTCAAACCTTTTCCGTCAACTCAATAACGAATTTATCTAATTAATAAAACGCAAATTCAACACTTGAGAGATCTTTGTATTTTGTCACTTACGTGAAACCGGTTATTGACAAATTTAGGGTCAACGCAGGTGAACTAACGTAGTTTAGGTAAAAGATACGCAGATAAGATAAAGTAATAAAATTGACTTTTAATGGAGGCGGTGAGCAATGATCCAAAATACTTTTTAGGAGTTTGAATTGATTGAAGCTTTAAATTGGCTAATTCCCAATTTGCCGCGGTTTATTGAATAAATGAAATTAGCTCAATCTTAGTAATTATCCACTACGACCACTTCTGTGATTGCTTTCTTGCATGGCTTCGTGTATCAATGTAACCTGCGTAAGTTATGAACAGAACAATTGTAAAATAGGAACGAAGTGAAATTAAATGTGAAAAGTTAAAAACGCGAATTTTATTCATCACGATACTGCAATAAAGTTTAGGGAGTAGACTTAAACACCTGAAAAAAATTCAAAAGAATATGATTATCCGTTTTATTTTGTCCCAAAATGCTTACTACATGGAGCATCACCTTTTTTAAAGCCCAAAAACACGATAGAGCGTTTGTAATCTCCAGATTCCCTGAATCCAGGCGGATAATGATCTGTTGTCTCCTAGGGAGACCTTTGAACGAATTGAGAAATCCCTTTTCCTCCGACCGTCATGGCTCAAGAAAATTTTGATTATCTGATGAAATTTTAAATTTAATTTCCAATTCCAAGGCACTACAAAATGAGGTTTCTTAAGTTTATCGCAGATTCTTTCTCACCTTTATCATTCCAAATTAAGCTTATTTATCCCAAAATATTTATTGAAATTAAAAAAACCTAGGTGGTTTAAAGATTAGTTAAAGGGTAAATTGAAAATCTGATTAAAATCGAAGTCTTTTATTCCCATCTCTGAAAGTCATTCTTAGTCCTTTGCAATTTATACCAATCTTAATGCAATGGCTTCAAAAAAGGTTCAAATTTTATAAATAAAGGATAAAAATATTGAATTTTTGAATCCAGATGATGAATCTAAATAGAATTTTTGGTAATCGTGACCTCAATAAATAATAATTATCGATTTCAAGGAGTATTAATTTTGCTTCAAATTTGGAACCAGAAACAAATTTATTCAAGAGATTAAATTCTTTGCTCAAGTCAGGAGTTCATTTTAAGTGAGTTCTACAGTAAATTTCCGTTTGAAAGCTGCTGCTATCATTATTACTTACGGAAAATATTCAATCGCTTCGCATAGAAATGACCTATCCAGGTGTCAAATATGAAAAATTAGGTTTAGACCAAATTGCATTATATCCAGTAAAAGGAAGTGGACTAGCCAAAACTCTCTAAAATCGAAAAAAGTATGACTGCTAATATTTCGACCTCATTTGAAACCCCTGTTTAATCTCTCAAGGCACTAAGCTGCGATTTCTTTAGTTGAGGTGTTATCCAATAATCAAAACCGTAGTGTTCAAGATAGCAAGAGCCAGGATTTGAGTGTCAATTTCTTAAATGCCAATTTCCTCGAAAGACTCCAAATTTACCAAAATATTATGACCGTGTGAATGCCAGAACTGGCCGAAAGCATTACAGACATGCTCAATAGTTTTAGAAATAAAGCGTACTCTGTCATTGTGATTTTTAATTGCCCACATAAACCGTATGTATTTATATCAATTGGCAGGCGTTTTGAAAGTTACCATTAGCCCTTTAGTTGAGTTCAGACTTCACAGAGGGGAAGGAACATCAAATTGAAAAGGAGTTGAGAGGGACGGGGGGGGTGCAGAAGAGTGATTCAAAGACGAATGTAGAAAAGGTAGAAAAGGTGAGGTGAGTACTGTGAAAGTAGTCGAATATGACATACAGTGGGGTGATGGTAGTTTGAAGTCAGAAGTCGATAACCGATTGATAGGCATTTTTGCCGTATGAGTTTATGTTGCCTAGGGTACACCACGTGGAGGTAAGTTTTCGTACACCCCATAAACTCTATGTGAAATAGTACTAAATTTTCTTTCTTGGTTGTTCAATGAAAGATTCAAAAATTTTGAAGAGTAACTTATTTGCAAACAATTATGCTTCGAAGATATCATGCTCACTTTCTTCTTCGTAGATAATCAATATTTATCGCTGGTTGCATATAGCATTTTGTAAATCATGCACAAGATTAATACTGGCTGCTTTAATATAGTTTTCCATTGTATTTATTACCTGAAAAAACGGGTACAATATAATAAGGTCAAATCATTACGGTGACGTAACTTGCATTTTTTTGTGTCAAGTTGAAAATACCAGAGTTCGTGGAAAGAGCAAAAATAAATGTCTTAACAACATTGGTTCAAAAGAATCGGCCGGAAGTGGACAATCCTTATTTTTCTAAAGGACCAATTAGAGCAGGTGGCAATCATTTTAAACATAGTCTTCAGGCGCTTCTCAAAGTAATATATATTGTTGATTTATTTAATAAAAACGATTAGTGCTCTGCTTGAAAATCAATCGAATTGGAGACCTAATTCCCTAACAGTGAGTAACCGGTTTCAATACGCGACTAAAACGATGATGATAACTTACATAAATTCAAATCCGCCTTAATTTAATTGCCAAAAGTAATGCGCGATTTGCTATGAGTTGTTAATCACATAAAATATTTCAATGGGGAATAAAATGACAGATTTGGAAACGCTTGAGTACCTCTCTTTTGCCTAAAACGATTCAATTCCGCTCATCCGGTTACCGCATGCTTTGACTACGCTAATAACCGATCTAAGTGGGTGACCGATTTTTAAAATAGGGAAATTAAAATGTTAGGGTATTAGAAATTCGCGCGAAAGTGCACTCGACTGTAGGCATACTATAAATGATTTCGGAACATTGCAGCCTTATTTTTGTTGCCAGAAGTGAAATATTAACTGCTATGGCAATTTACTCCTTTTTCCAAAGACGACGATTTGCAATTAATACTTTAAAATCAGTTATACGGAAGCATAAGAAGAAACATTCAAGGTAGTACCCGTCCCCCACTGCTTGTATATGCTCTCCTCTTTCAAATATTTGTATATTTGCACCATCATATCGACAACACGATATGGAATTCGAATCTGGTCGGTCCTCTGGCCTTAGCGCATTGAAACGCTCCGCATAGCGTATACAATTTGATGGGCACCTGTATGTATCTCCTTCTTTACTACGTGCCTCTCTTTCTATTTCTCGCGCAACGAAACATCATCTTCACTTCCACCACTCGGATGAGCCCTATGTTGTTGGGCTTCGAAAGACATTGATAATGGACGTGGTAAATAACCTTATTGTTAAGATGAAATAAGCTTAGTACTTTGAGATTTTTGCATTTTCCAATGTATGTTACCGTTCATTATCAGTTAAATGGGAACTGCTGAGCGATATGATTGATAAAAGAAATATATGTCAGGTATGAAACCCTACGGGAGTTCAACTCAGAGGACTTATGAACGGTGGAATAATTGGTTCAGGCTGCTCAATTAAAAACAGGGGGGGGGGCATATAGTAACTAGAAGCTTCAGGTACATATCAGACGCACGAATTGCCATACTGTCGATTCGTTCTCTTCATCCTTCGACTAATTTAATTATGGAAACGCCGCTTCTTAATTCAAACTCCATTTACACGAATTTTTTGTTATCATATTTTGGTACGCTTATTTATTATTACTTATACATGAATGTATTTAAAATAAAATTTCACCTGAGGTATCAAAGTAGCTCTATTGTGCATTGCTAGTCATCATTCATTGTGGTTATTTATTTGGACATCTGAAGAAGCGATAACGGTAATCGAAGCGTTATGTGGGTGAAGAGTCACCAATCGAGATCATTTCGACTTGACTCGATCTACCCCCCCCCCCTCCATCAACTTTAAAGCTTAAAAATACTTTCATGCGTAGACTCCTAGTTATTGGTGGTGATGGTAGTAAACTGTTGGCCTAACCCACACTGCTAACGTTTGCTATTTTTTCCAAAAAACGCGAAGCATGGCAATAACAAAGGATGCGACTTAGTCAAAACGTTTTCATTTCTGTGTCTCCGAGATTGTTGGAGCACAGAAATATATCAGCGCAGCAAACAAATTAGTTTGTGCATGAATGGCCTTGAGGTCAGAAATAGATTTCGATACGGTAATTCCCATGAATAGCAAAACTTAGTCAGTACATTGTTGTTCTTGACTTCTGACTTTAAAAACAAGGACGTCAATCGCTGCACCACATATCACTCCTAGTGAAACTCGGTAAATTTCTTGTGAAGATTACAGAAATTTAAAGACAGCAGTCAACCAGCCAAACACTGAGCTCTCACAGATGAATTTGTGACCAAGCATTCATCTAATTTTCACAAGTTTTCCCTAAGCCTCATTGTTATCAACACACACACGCGGTGGAAATTTTTATTTCTGGACATAAAAGTCATTATTGTTTCTCATAGTACCGGGAAGGATCTCTAGAACCAACACAGCTCCTAATTTAGAGAAAAATGCAGTATGAAAATATTTAGGCATGCTAAATTCACAAATGTGTCGTGATAGGAAGGCATCACTATCCACAACCTACTTTCACACATCCAAATTATTGCAATTGCTATAAAGTACTTACGATGGACAAAGATTTGCAGTAGCTCTGATAAGTTTTGTCAAATATTAACAAATTACGGAGAAGGACCATTGAATGCCCTACGTCTCCAATACAAGAGAGAATACAAAGAAACACAGCACAAGGTAAAAAAGGGAGGGGTATATATTTGACAAATAGAAATTCAAAAAGACATGGAAGGAACAACAAGATTCCATCAAGCAAAGATTATTGGAAGAGATGCTGATTTACACAGAAGTAAACTATTTACACAAACATAGGACTCAAGATTTTTTCTCGCCCTTCGTCTGCTCTTCTTCATGAACCGTCGCGACAACGACTTGACTAGCACTTTGACTGACAGAAGAGACGTCGTCTGCATCAGGGTCAAGAATAGCACCATCAGGAGGAGCTAAAACACAACTTGGTTGACCCTCTGGTGTGGGGAATGGGTCTTCCTCCTCCCAGTAATCCTGAGCGGCTATCGAGTCAACGACTTTTGCGACCTCGGCTGATCGATGGGATTTACGACTCTGAGCACTGATGACGTCTACCGTTTCATCACTTGTTGACATTACTTCGTCTTCTGAGTCGAAAGCATCGGAACCTTCTTCTTCGTCGCCTTGCTGTTCCGCTGGATTTGTTGGAAGCAGTTGATGGGGTTGAGCAATCATATGAACGGTGGGTGGCTATAATGGATTCGAGCGTGCCAAGGTGAAAAGGAAATTATGAATAGGTATAACAAATTCAGATGACGAAATAACCACCCTCTTTTGTTTTATTCAAATTATTTTTCAAAACATCGCTTATATCTTATATTGTCTGTATAAGCTATTAGAAATTATGTTATAAAGCAGAATTTCCGAAGTGGATTGTAATAAGCAGCTTCTACAACAAGGGGACCAAGCATTTTCAATCCTTTGAATTTGGATGTCGGATTGTAGGTTGTAAAAAACGTTTTCAGAACAGTTAGGGAACAAGAGCTGAAAATCCTTCTATTACTAGAAGGCTTCACATCACTTTCATATTGTGAGATCATTTTCAGCCACCCATGAATATTCAATTTTCCAGCCCCATATTCGTGAATAGTTGCATTTCAACTGAAGACCTCACATAAATTTAATCTCAAGCCTAGTTACATTGAAAAATACAATCTAGCATATAAAAGATAATAACAGAATCACTATTAACAATGAATTCGAAGGGCGGTTTGTCTAGGAGAGGCCCACTAAAAAGTCTACCAGTGATTATTGCATGAGCATATTTGGGAACATGTTTTATGTGAGCCTAAACGGTACGGACGCAATATTTAGAGATGGATAGCACTACTCAAAGTAGCTTACAGGAACAAATGTATAAGGCGGTGCTCCCAGAGAGATGGCAAATTGGTTGAGGTCATTTGAGGATTCAGACCAAACACCCGGTGGTGCCGGCGGCGGCGGCGGCGGTTGGAGAGTTTGAAAATTCTGGAAGTTCCAAGGAGATCGAGGATGCTGTTGGTAGAGTGTGGAAGGCTGAGAGGGGGAAGCGATGCCAGCATTGGCAGAGGCGTCAAGATGACAGACAACATCGTGTCGTGTGCCACGAAAACTACGTCCGGGTGTCGTGGAGACTGCGCTGGTAAAAGGAGATTTAGTTGGATGAATTAGCGGTTCTGATGGGCAGCATGCATTTGGAGGGGTCGGAAAGGCAGTCAAAGGATCCGAAAGCTGTGAGACCTGTTTGAACTAAAAAAATGAAGAAAATAACATGATGGCATCAGAAAAGAATGCCAATTTCGTATATATTTACAATAGCAATCAATTTTAAGTTACAAAAGACCACACATTTCATTAGCCGTTCAAAGTTTTTTTCGCTAAATAAACAATTCAAACGAAACTATTTTAGGCTAATGAATGCTCAGAAATGCATTTACCGTTGATTTATCAAGTTCGATCACTTTTTTCTTTCTTCAATATTATTTAAAGTTTTCAGTCTTTTAAAACCCACTTCGTAACTATGATTAGTGACCACGCAAAGCCAAGATTTAAAAGAACGCACTTTGGTCATCATATGCATCTGCAGCCAGAAAACACTATTCATTAAAAAAGTAAGTGAAGAAGAGACACCCTGAATATCTCTTTTAAGGAGCCCCAAGATGAATGCTAAATGTGCTTGAAAACATCGTAATAGCCGAGCTGTGCCAATAAATGTTAAGTCTGGAGCGAATAAAGTTGAATTTGTTGTAAATCGCTAATAGGTAACTAACTGGAAGTGCAGACGTTGGCGGCATTGAATAGGCCTGTGACGGTGGATTTTGAATTTGGTGTTGCATAGCGGCTTGCGCTGCGGCAGTAGCGGCCATGAGGGCGGCCATCATTACAGAATCGGGCGTTCCATCACCTCCAGTTCCCGTACTTGTTCCTCCACATCCCGCTCCTCCAGTTGGACAGCAATTTTCTGACGAAGACTGTTGTACATTCTGTTGTTGTTGCTGCTGTTGAGCCATGAGATAAGCCATCATGACAGATTTCGATGCAAGCAATTGCTGTTGATCCGCAGACTGGTTCTGTTGATGGAAAGAGTTCTCAGCAGCGACAGACTGAGCCCAGTGAAGGGCGTCTAAAAGGAGCATTCGAGTGCGCCAGAGCTCACGCCATGTGGCACCCGCTTGTTCAGCTAGAAGATTGAAGGAATTATAGGATTCAGCACCGGAAGAACTTGCCAATGAGAGCCGAGATGTGGTTCCCCGACGAGAACCACCTCCATCTAGAACTTGAAAGAACGTAAGCGTAACAAAGGCTCTGAAAATGCTATCGAGAGGAAAATGAATGTTTTAAATATAAATAATTAAGGAAAAAGTAATTCCATCAAGTATGCTATTTTTTAAGCAATATCGATCTTTACGTGAACTCACAAATGAAAATTGTCCTGAAAGCTACTCTTGGCGCATAAAAATCTCCACATTAATAAATAGATCACTTTGTGCTTGGCATACAAGCTTCGGTCACAGGCTAATATGACACAAAGTTAACGCCGGGCAATATACTACTTCCTAAGGGTAGATAGTTGTAACCACCCATTCGACATTACGAATGGTGAATGAAAGTTTAAGACTACAATTGAGGATTAGACTAGCAATAATAGCATAAGTGAATACCCCTTAGATTCATTGGATATGGCAACGCTAATTGATGCATTCCTTTATTTACCTAACTATTCCAGCTCAATATCAATGAACGTCTTTCTTCACACTTTCTAACCAGAAATTTGACAGATAATGAAATAGGGTAGTTAAAATACGAAGTCTGGAAGAAGCTCAAAGCACCTTTTTGACTTCTCTCCAGTTCCATGGCAGCGGCAGCAGCGTAGAGCCGCGAGAGAGATTCAATGGAGAGATTTTGTTGATTTTTTCCAGCGTTGCTTGTAGACGCAGCAGAAGAGGAGGCTGCCCGATGGAGAATAAGAAGGCTGTTCAGACTTTGACGCCCTTCCTCCCCGCCTCCACCAAAATCTGTTAGTCCCAAAGTGGAGTATGATCTGGAAACTAATCGTCGGCGACCTTGAAAAAGAACAGAAAACGCATAATCCCACTTTGGATTAGTATTTGCTAGTAAAACTACCTCCATTTTACTACTGCTTAGACCTCAGAATAAGATGAATTTAAAAGGCAAAAATTATAATAAGGTTGTTAAAAGAAGTTTATAAGACAACTGTTTGGAAGCTATAGCAAATAACGAAGGTAATCTTAGAATTGAAATTTGCAGTCTACCAATCCCGTCTTTATTCTTCCCATATTGAAGGTGATTATCGGACTGGAACCATTAGATGGCATGAAGACGATAAGGGTGCAAACAGACAAATAATCAAGAGCATAACGACTACCTTGAATAAGAGGCAAACATTGCAAAACGCATCGAAAAGGAATGAAGGCACTCACCGGAGGTTTTACTCGACCACATTCTTCTTTGTCTACTCCTGCGCATCGGTCTGACCTTAATGAAAAGAGGGAAAGTATGATTAGCTAGAGGGGGGGGGTTGAGAATAAGTACACTAAAAGCCAATACTTAAAAGAGGTTGTGTCATAATGGCTCATTCTGATGTGGATGCTTATGGGTAGTTCCAAGATTATTCATGTTATATTTGCATTTCCAACTATTAAATAAACTGAACAATCTAAAGTTTTTTAACAAAAAGCTTGCACAAAAGTACTCGTATGGAAAGCTGGAGAGAAGGGATTGGCAATATCGCGGAATGCGAACTTTTTAATTGTCAAAAAAAGATGATAAGAGATATTTTCAGAAAACTGAGCAATAGCATACCTCACACTGTGTTAAAAAAAACATTCGTTTTAAACTAAGGCTCTTTCAATAATTATCATAAACTCACCAGACTGTGCTCAAGTGCTGCTGCTGCTGCAGCCACCAATTTATCTTCTTCCCGTTTTTGGAGGTGCGAAATTGAGCTTAAGATTGCAGCACCGCCATCACTTGCAGAAGATTTCGATTTATGACGGTTGGTGCTTTGCTGATGAGTAAGAAAGAGAGATTGGGAGGAGTTGAGGGAATTAGACTTGTGCATCGGCTGCTGTTGCCGTTTGAGGGCCAATCCACCAATAGTCACGGTTGTTCCTACCATAGTGCCCGTTCCGCTGCTACTAACAACCGAGGAAGCATTTCCGGCACCGAAGCCACCCCCACCGCCGATTCGGACAGTTGACGCACCATTTGCTGCTCCAACAGAAGACAAGATCCAACCTTTAGGGAAATAATAACATCCCTATCTCGCAAAAACTAAATCACATAAACGACGTCACTCTAGTTTTACCACTTGTCCCTTCCGCGTCAGTAAGATTCCACACTCAAGAGGAACAGAGAAGAGGTCTGAAGATATCTTAAACACTAAGAATTTACATATGGATAGATGACCTTAGATCAATCACTAGAAGGTGTAAACGAAAACATTCCATAACTCAAATCTAGGCAAACACTACAGTCGCCTTATCCGGTTAACGCTACCTAGGAGAAATAGCATAGCAAACCGCTAGGTACCTTTCAGAGTAATCTCACCAAACTTGCTTCTGCTGAAAAAGTAGGCTTAGTTACCTCAGATAAGCAATTAATACCAAATGAATGACAGCGTAAAAGAAGCGATTATAGGGTATATTTCTTATTCCGTACTCTAAACTCTATTTTATCAAGATTGATAAGCTAAGAGGCGATTGTTCAGTTGATGATACTGGACAATATATATATATATATATATATATATATATATATATATATATATATATA